CTGAACGGTAGGGAGAGAGAAAGAGCGCACGCGCGTGCAATTCTGTTGTGTGATCTTTGATGTTCACTCACTTATTCACTCACTTAGCGCACGCATCATTTGGATTAAAACTAAATCGTAAAAAAAATATAAACAATTTATTTTCAACCTTAGGCATACACGACTTCCTGGCGAGCGAAAGTGAATCTAGCAGCCTGTGTGAAATGCGCTAGTCTGTACTACTGTCCTCTCATTCTGCATCAGTGCAAATACCTGCACGCGTTGCTCGTGTTTTGCTTGCTTGAGTGTTTCTGCATTATATGAGTAGCTTTGGAATATAAATCGCAGCACGTTTTAGATGAAAAAACGCTACTTCTATTTCTGAAAATATCACAGGAGATTAATAGCGAGTGGTTCCCTTCATTATTACAGCAGAGCGTGTGATTACAGTACTGAGCCGCTGCAATAGAGCAGCTCTAATGCTGTTAAATTAAAGATGATGTACCATAGAGCAAAACAATGAACAGTGAAAGTAACAAAAACTTGTAAAATACATTTTAATGGGCATAATTAAGTGTGAAAATAACCGAAGGATATACAGTGAAACCAAACATAATTCAGAGACCAGATTTAATTGTTGATATTTTGTTACTAGTGGGTGCAGGACACTATAGTTCATTTATGTAAGTGAGGATAGCAAAATAAAGTAAACTGTGACAAATCATACCCATAAATTCTTCATACAGTGGACTACCAGTAAAACGTATACTATACTGATGAAATTATTCTGACCGAGTCTGGGAAAAAAACTGAAGTTGAGGTTTGCAGTTGATATTTAAAAAAAATGTACAAATGCAATAAAAATATTGGTATCAGTACTCGGTATCGGCAAGTACCAAAAATAAAAGTATCGGTATCGGGCGAGTACTGGAAAAAGTGTTATCGGTGCATCCCTAGTTAGTTGTGTTTGTTTGTGTGTGTGAGATTGATTATTACTTGGTAGTTAGGGGTGTGCGATATGACGATTTTTGATCATGGACGATTAAAATGTCTCCACGATCTGCTTTTGAAGAAATATGTTTGTTTCGTGCTACAGCGCACATTCTATCAGCTGCAGTTCTGGAGCCTCCCTCCGTCTCAATATAATGTTCAAAGCCACATGCATTCACTGCATCAGTGTTAGCTCAGCGGTAGAGTTACTCTCACGAGACACTGCACTTATGCACAATCACAAAACTACATTATTTCATCAGCTTTAAAGCAATACCGGTTAAACATTTACTGTTCTGCATGTGCTTTTTCTGAGCGCGTACTCAAGAAGCGTGCTCACACTGAACCTATCAAAAAGCGCCTGATTATTGGACTAAGTTGTCTTTCACGACTGACTGATTAATTCAGTTTTAAAACAACTATTTTGATGAACTTGTCATCAGTCAGTATAATTTATGATATATAGGCTAGTGTATATAGTGTTTTATTTCTAAAAATACTGTACCTGAAAAATAAAGCCCGGTTTGTTTTATTTGTATATTATGTGTATTTGTAATGTATATCTTTGTTCTTATTTTCTAATAACAAAGATAAAATAATGACAAAGATTTGTATCTTTGCTCACTTTGGCCTACATGTCTGCCATTCTTTTTTATTTTATATTTTGTTAAGGTGTAAGAGGTGTTGCGTTTCTGCACTCTTCCATTTTTAGCAAATTAAGCAGTGCCTGTTTAAGTGATGAACTCTTTTTGGCCTGTGCTACAAAACTTTCAACCTCTGTAAGCACCAGTGCGATGTGAAAAAAAAGTTAACGTACAGCCCTGGATTGTTCGGAGAAGAAAAGGTGAATACTACCATGAGTCCTGTGTTGTGCCTACAGTGAAGCATCCCGAGATGCAAATCTCAATCCCATAGAAAACCTGTGGTCAGTCCTCACAAGGCGAGTGGACAAGCAGTCAGGATTTGGCCCAGAAGCTAATATCCAGCATGCCAGAGCGAATTGCAGAGGTTATGAAGAACAAGGGTCAACACTGTAAATATTGCCAATAAAAGCCTTTAAAACTTCTGATATGCTTATTATTTTTCCACATATTTCTATGGTATACTGAAAAGCAAAACACAAAATGTCACTGCCAAAACTTTTGGCCATGACTGTAGTCTTTCTCTAGGAGGAGTATGCAGATGTTCTTTTAAAACCCTTGACTTTCTAAAACTCTTTCCACACTGTTCACATGTGAAGGGCTTCTCTCCAGTGTGGATTCTCATGTGTTCATTAAGAGTTCCTTTAAGTCTGAAATTCTTACCGCACTGAAGAGAAGCCGTACACATGTGATCAGTGTATTTTCATGTGTTTTTTAAGGCGTTCTTTTTTTAAGAAACCCTTTCCGCACTGTTCACATGTGAAGGGTTTCTCTCCAGTGTGGATACTCATGTGCTTTTTAAGGTGTTCTTTTTGTATGAAACTCCTCCCGCACTGATCACATGCATGCGGCTTCTCTCCAGTGTGGATTTTTATGTGATCGTTATAATTTCCTTTATGTCTGAAACTCTTCCCGCACTGATCACATGAGAAGGGTTTCTCTCCAGTGTGGATTCTCATGTGTGTATTAAGGCTTCCTTTATGTCTGAATTTCCTCCCGCACTGATCACACGTGTACGGCATCGCTCCCGTGTGGATTTTCATGTGTTCATAGAGAAATCCTTTAAGTCTGAACTTCTTCCCGCACTGATCACACGTGTGTGGCTTCTCTTCAGTGTGGATCGTCTCGTGTATCTCCAGATATTCTGGCCATGTGAATGTCTTGTCAGAGTGTGAACACTGGTTAGGTTTTTCTCCGGTGTGAACCGTCTGGTGCTTTCTCAGTGCATGAACTGTAAAAAACGTCTTTCCACACTCAGAGCAAATATGATCCTTCACACCGCTGTGTCTTTTCAGATGTGTTTTTAAATTACCCATCTGTCTAAAGCTCTTTGCACACAAAGAACATATGTAAGGCCTCTCCTGTGTATGCACTGTCATGTGGTCCTTCAGGAAATCTGGCCTAAAAAATGTTTTACTGCACTGGTCACACTTATAAATTCTTTCTCTAGAATGAGTGAGCAGATGCACTTTGAAAACACTTGACTTTCTGAAACTCTTCCCGCACTCGTCACATGTGAAGGGCTTCTCTCCAGTGTGGATTTTCATGTGTTCATTAAGCTGTCCTTTTTGTATGAAACTCTTAGCACACTGATCACATGCGTACTGCTTCTCTCCAGTGTGGATTTTCATGTGATCATTATAATTTCCTCTATGTCTGAAACTCTTCCCGCACTGATCACATGCGAAGGGTTTCTCTCCAGTGTGGATATTCAGGTGTGTATTCAGGTTTCCTTTATATCTAAATTTCCTCCCGCAGTGATCGCACGAGTGCGGCTTCTCTCCAGTGTGCATTCTCATGTGTTGATCAAGGAGGTGTTTTTGTCTGAACTTCTTTCCACACTGAGTGCATGCGTGCGGCTCTCCAGTAGTTATTCTCCAGGGCTTCTCTCCAGTGTGGATTTTCATGTGTTCATTAAGCTGTCCTTTTTGTATGAAACTCTTAGCACACTGATCACACGCGTACTGCTTCTCCCCAGAGTGGATTTTCATGTGATCATTATAATTTCCTTTATGTCTGAAACTCTTCCCGCACTGATCACATGCGAAGGGTTTCTCTCCGGCGTGGATTCTCATGTGTGTATTCAGGTTTCCTTTATGTCTGAATTTCCTCCCGCACTGATCACACGCGTACGGCATCACTCCCGTGTGGATTTTCATGTGTTCATTAAGCTGTCCTTTTTGTATGAAACTCTTAGCACACTGATCACACGCGTACTGCTTCTCCCCAGAGTGGATTTTCATGTGATCATTATAATTTCCTTTATGTCTGAAACTCTTCCCGCACTGATCACATGCGAAGGGTTTCTCTCCGGCGTGGATTCTCATGTGTGTATTCAGGTTTCCTTTATGTCTGAATTTCCTCCCGCACTGATCACACGCGTACGGCATCACTCCCGTGTGGATTTTCATGTGTTCATTAAGGTTTCCTTTATTTCTGAACTTCTTCCCGCACTGATCACACGCGTACGGCATCACTCCCGTGTGGATTTTCATGTGTTCATTAAGGTTTCCTTTATTTCTGAACTTCTTCCCGCACTGATCACACGCGTACGGCATCACTCCCGTGTGGATTTTCATGTGTTCATTAAGGTTTCCTTTATTTCTGAACTTCTTCCCGCACTGATCACACGCGTACGGCATCACTCCCGTGTGGATTTTCATGTGTTCATTAAGGTTTCCTTTATTTCTGAACTTCTTCCCGCACTGATCACACGCGTGTGGCTTCTCGTCAGTGTGGATTTTACTGTGTTTGGCAAGGTTAGCTTTTAGCGTGAAAGTCTTCTCGCACTGATCACATGCGTACGGCTTCATTCCACTGTGAAGTTTCATGTGAAGATTAAGACTTTGTTCGCATGAGAAGCTCTCTCCACACTGAGGGCGAGTGTCAGGATGTTTCTCCCCCGCTTCCATCAGTTCTTCAATCACCTTGTTCTCTTCCGTCAGGCCTAAAATGAAAGTTAAAGAAGTGTGATTATCATGTGAAAGGATAAGGATGTGAACCTTGATGCATCAGCACAAAGCATGATCATCATACACTGATCACTCCAATTATTATTTCTATAACATAACAGGCAAAAATGGCATGTCCTATGGGTCTCTCTTACCTTTATGTAGTGCTTACAATAAAAGACTGTCAAAGCAGTTTTGTCTCGATGCAAAAAAGAAGATATGGTATACAACTGTATATAATTAGCGTGCATCTGGTAGCCGCTATCAATACGCAGGGTGCTGAAAGCGCTTTTTGGAGCGGTTTCCTCCAGTGAAAATATAGCCTTTATACTTTATAAACGATCATGTTGCTATTTTCATTTGAAAATTTTATATTTAATATAAAACAAACCCAAACGATACCCAACCCTAAACAGCTGAAGACATTACTTGCTAATACTAGTCTTTACATGACGTCTTTAATTTTTGGAGTTTTGTCATTGTTGGTTACATTAGCTCTGATAAAACGAGTGCCTTTAACCGCAGCCGTTAGTACGCCTCTAGTCTCGGACCGCTGGCTGAAATCTGACGCATACGGCACACTTAACTGGAAACACTTCAGCAGTTTCTAAGTCGTCCTCTGATTGGTTGAAGTGTGCAGGATTTCCGGGAGACGCGCGCGTCGCGTTCTTTACCGGTCCACCTGGAAACAACCCAAAGCCGTCCGATCGAAGAAGAAAGCTTTGCGTTTACATCGGTGGCAACGAGCATCAATCAAGATCATGGCCGTAGCCAGGGTTTCAAAATTACTGAGGTCTGGGGGTTGTTAAGAATTGTGCAATAATAATGGCTAGTACTATTTTGATAACGTCGTTTGCACTGCGCTCTTGCGTTACTTGATCTTTTTATTTTGGTGCATCAATCTGTTGAGTTACTTAGTATAAGAAACTATGATCTGCACTCAAGAGAACAGTCTTCTTCTTTCTTGTATTTTACATGCATTACTGATGGGAAAAGACACAAACGTTTCGGCTCAAAGCCTTCCTCAGTGCGCAAAGCAATTCAATCCCTCCACCCACTTTTCAAAGCACTAATTATATTGACGTCATCATTCATTAGCCAATGTTCAATTACTAAAATCATTAAAGCATTTCCATTTAAATCCTTGACAATTTACTTATACCCAACACAAAACATCACATCCACTAGTACACCTCACAATCTACCCGTGACTAAAACAATAGTTATTTAGGATCACATTTATCACTATTATACAAGCCTATAGTTTATCCTATCAATCATCAATATCTACTCCAATTAACTTTAAACTGTATAACAATGGAAAATTCAATAATTGAGAACATCAGAAATACATCGTCATAAACAATCATTGTTTTACACACTGTAAATACTACATTTATTATATAGAATATTAAAAATGAATACGACCAACCATAGTTCATTAAAGAAAGATCTAATTCCTCATTCGTGCCATTTGGGTTCAGTGATTTAAGTTTATGAATCCAGAACGCTTCTCGTTTCAATAGTTCTTTATTTATATTACCTCCTCTACGTGACCCAAAAACCTCCTCTGTTCCTATACATTCCAGTTGCTTGATGTCGTGTCCCAATTCGTTAAAATGTCTCGCTACTGGAGAGGTTATGTCTTATCGTCGTATACTAGATTTATGTTCATTAATTCGTAATTTCAACGGACGCAAAGATTTTCCTATATATATCTATCTTTTGACAGGGACATTTTAACATACAGATCACATTACGAGTTGAACAGGTAATACAAAATGTGATTTTAAAACATTTCCGTGTTACTGGACATATAAACTCCTTACACTTGACCAAATTCCTGCAAGCGGCACAGTTTCTACACGGGACACAGCCTTATATATAAGCAGACTTTTTCTTCCTTACTACATCCGAGTTTACCGTCATATCCGATAGATTTCGTGATCTTTTATAAGTGAATAACGGGCGATGTTGAAATTTCTCATTTAGAGATTCATCGGATGATAATATGTACCAATGTTTATGAATAATTGATTTTATTATATTACTATGCTCATTGTATGTCAAGGAACAATTTAACGAAAATGTTTTTTAATGGGCTTATCCTATTTTCAAAAGATCATGTCTATTCACTTTATTAACCTTATCTAATGCATTATTTAACCAGCTTTGTGGGTACCCTTTAGAACGAAATCGTTGAAATATGAATTTGATGAACAAGTAAAATTGCTGTGTAGTACTACAATTACGTTTTAATCTATGCAATTGACTAATCGGTAAACGCTAGTTTAGTTTCTAGTACTATTTTGATAACACAGTTTCGTACAGATAATATCCTAATATCGTTGCCTTTGTCTTACCGGATGTGGTCTCCTCAGCAATAAACTATCCGCGCGCGCAGGTTAAGTGCCGGCGATGCAGTGTTACCAGATATTGCTATGAAAAAAAAGAAAAAGCATTCCCCGAAAAATGGACCAAAGTAAGTTCCAATCTTGTATTTTGCAAATAAGATACAGAATCGCTAACCCCAACCTTCATCTTCCCACTTTACTAACGCCCTAATTACTTTATTAACGTAGTCACATTAAGTATGAAAAAGTCCAATGACGCTTATAATAACTAGATCTGGCAACATGGAGCGGAGCCCTTACGAGCTCGAGTCAGCGACATGATGTTAAATAATTTTTCATATCTATTTTCAAAAGATCATGTCTATTCACTTTATTAACCTTATCTAATGCATTATTTAACCAGCTTTGTGGGTACCCTTTAGAACGAAATCGTTGAAATATGAATTTGATGAACAAGTAAAATTGCTGTGTAGTACTACAATTACGTTTTAATCTATGCAATTGACTAATCGGTAAACTCTAGTTTAGTTTCTAGTACTATTTTGATAACACAGTTTCGTACAGATAATATCCTAATATCGTTGCCTTTGTCTTACCGGATGTGGTCTCCTCAGCAATAAACTATCCGCGCGCGCAGGTTAAGTGCCGGCGATGCAGTGTTGCCAGATATTGCTATGAAAAAAAAGAAAAAGCATTCCCCGAAAAATGGACCAAAGTAAGTTCCAATCTTGTATTTTGCAAATAAGATACAGAATCGCTAACCCCAACCTTCATCTTCCCACTTTACTAACGCCCTAATTACTTTATTAACGTAGTCACATTAAGTATGAAAAAGTCCAATGACGCTTATAATAACTAGATCTGGCAACATGGAGCGGAGCCCTTACGAGCTCGAGTCAGCGACATGATGTTAAATAATTTTTCATTCCGAACTTAATTTTATTTTCGAACATGAAAAATGTAGCTCATAGCTGGCTACGGGCTTGATCAAGATAGATTAAACGCTGGATTCGCTGGTTTCATGGTTTAAAAGACATTTTAAAAATAAAAGACATTTCAACTGGTTTGCCGACTGGATATGGCAAGAGTCTTATTTTCCAACTTATTTTTAACTGCTGCTTTTGATACAGTAGATCTGTTCTTATTGCCCGTTTGAAACATTGTGTAGGGCATTACCGAGACTGCACTGGAGTGGTTTAAATCTTATTTTTACAACAGAAGCTTCTCCGTTAAGATTGGAGAGTATACCTCTAGCAGTGCTGTATTACCGTGTGGGGTTCCTCAGGGCTCCATTTTGGGCCCAATTCTTTTTTCTCTTTACATGCTGCCACTTGGTTCTATTATTAGAAAACATGGGCAGTCACATTGTTACACTGATGACACACAAATGTATCTGCCCCTCGAGCGAAATACAGATGGTTTGGATAGCCTCTTGGCCTGTTTGACTGATGTAAAGGCATGGCTTTCTTTAAACTTTCAGAATTTCAACTAGAGTAAAACAGAGATTATTATATTTGGACCCTAAATACCTACTAAATGGTATGGCTCCAGCTTACCTTTCTGCCCTAATGAACGGTTTAAAAGACATTTTAAAAATAAAAGACATTTCAACTGGTTTGCCGACTGGATGTGGCAAGAGTCTTATTTTCCAAGCCTGGCCGATTTCCTCGGCGTTATGCTAACAGATCCTTCAGGAGACTGATGCGGCGTTGTTTTTGTACATTTTTGAGATGTTCGTGAATGATTTAAGTTTAAACTAAACTTGGACCTCACAGTGTTAGGTAATTTTAGACCCATCTCCAACCCGTGTTTTATTGCGAAGATTTTGGAGAAAACAGTCCTCCAACAATTGCAAAGTTTTCTAGCAGAAAATGCAGTTTTTTTTTTTTATATTTCAATCTGGTTTTAGAAAACAGTCCATCGAGACTGCTTTGTTGAAGGTTTTTAATGATGCACCAATAACGTGATTCTGGTGAATATGCGGTTCTTGTGCTTTTAGATTTAACTGCTGCTTTTGATACAGTAGATCTGTTCTTATTGCCCGTTTGAAACATTGGGTAGGGCATTACCGAGACTGCACTGGAGTGGTTTAAATCTTATTTTTCCAACAGAAGGTTCTCCGTTAAGATTGGAGAGTATACCTCTAGCAGTGCTGTATTACCGTGTGGGGTTCCTCAGGGCTCCATTTTGGGCCCAATTCTTTTTTCTCTTTACATGCTGCCACTTGGTTCTATTATTAGAAAACATGGGCAGTCACATTGTTACACTGATGACACACAAATGTATCTGCCCCTCGAGCGAAATACAGATGGTTTGGATAGCCTCTTGGCCTGTTTGACTGATGTAAAGGCATGGCTTTCTTTAAACTTTCAGAATTTCAACTAGAGTAAAACAGAGATTATTATATTTGGACCCTAAATACCTACTAAATGGTATGGCTCCAGCTTACCTTTCTGCCCTACTGCCTGAGCACCATTCAACCAGATCACTCAGGTTATCTTTAACTCTTATTCCACAGCTCTTATGTTGTCTCCATCGGCAACCACTAAATCCGACGAACCACTAAGTTGTATACCCTTATCGAAGAATCAAGAAAAAGCACCAACCTATGCGTTCGTCACCAGCATCTCGTTTTATTCTGCAGGGTTCTGGGCCATCCATGTTCTCGCCGTATCTTCGTCACGGAACCGCCAAAGTGAAGAGTAAATCAGTTATCAGATTGATGCTTTTCAATACTTTCTTATATTGTTAGAAAAGTTTAATATTTTGAATAAATGCCGTTCTTTAATTTTCATTCATCAAAGAATCCTGAAAAAAGTAATATTGTGCTGCACAACTGTTGATAATTCTAATAACAAATCGGCACATTATACTGATTTCTGAAGATCATGTGGCACTTTATACTGGAGTAATGATGCTGGAAATTCAGCGCTGCATCACAGAAATAAATTATATTTTAAAGGATATTAAAATAGAAACCTTTATTTTATATTGTAATAACATTTTACAATATTACTGTTTTTTTCTGTATTTTTGATCAAATAAACGCAGCCGTGATGAGCAGAAGAGCCTTCTTTACACACATCACAAGTCTCACAGACCCCTAACTGTTGAACAGCAGTGAGTGTGTGTGTGTGTGTGAGAGAGAGAGAGAGAGAGAGAAAGAGAGAGAGAGAGAGAGTGTATGTGTGTGAGAGAGAGAGAGAGAGAGAGAAAGAGAGAGAGAGAGAGAGTGTATGTGTGTGAGAGAGAGAGAGAGAGAGAGAAAGAGAGAGAGAGAGAGAGTGTATGTGTGTGAGAGAGAGAGAGAGAGAGAGAAAGAGAGAGAGAGAGAGAGTGTATGTGTGTGAGAGAGAGAGAGAGAGAGAGAAAGAGAGAGAGAGAGAGAGTGTATGTGTGTGAGAGAGAGAGAGAGAGAGAGAAAGAGAGAGAGAGAGAGAGTGTATGTGTGTGAGAGAGAGAGAGAGAGAGAGAAAGAGAGAGAGAGAGAGAGTGTATGTGTGTGAGAGAGAGAGAGAGAGAGAGAAAGAGAGAGAGAGAGAGAGTGTATGTGTGTGAGAGAGAGAGAGAGAGAGAGAAAGAGAGAGAGAGAGAGAGTGTATGTGTGTGAGAGAGAGAGAGAGAGAGAGAAAGAGAGAGAGAGAGAGAGTGTATGTGTGTGAGAGAGAGAGAGAGAGAGAGAAAGAGAGAGAGAGAGAGAGTGTATGTGTGTGAGAGAGAGAGAGAGAGAGAGAAAGAGAGAGAGAGAGAGAGTGTATGTGTGTGAGAGAGAGAGAGAGAGAGAGAAAGAGAGAGAGAGAGAGAGTGTATGTGTGTGAGAGAGAGAGAGAGAGAGAGAAAGAGAGAGAGAGAGAGAGTGTATGTGTGTGAGAGAGAGAGAGAGAGAGAGAAAGAGAGAGAGAGAGAGAGTGTATGTGTGTGAGAGAGAGAGAGAGAGAGAGAAAGAGAGAGAGAGAGAGAGTGTATGTGTGTGAGAGAGAGAGAGAGAGAGAGAAAGAGAGAGAGAGAGAGAGTGTATGTGTGTGAGAGAGAGAGAGAGAGAGAGAAAGAGAGAGAGAGAGAGAGTGTATGTGTGTGAGAGAGAGAGAGAGAGAGAGAAAGAGAGAGAGAGAGAGAGTGTATGTGTGTGAGAGAGAGAGAGAGAGAGAGAAAGAGAGAGAGAGAGAGAGTGTATGTGTGTGAGAGAGAGAGAGAGAGAGAGAAAGAGAGAGAGAGAGAGAGTGTATGTGTGTGTGTGAGTGTGTGTGTGTGTGTGTGTGTGAGAGAGAGAGAAGAGGCATTACTCTTATATTCCCTCTGATCAGGCAGATGCGAGACCAACCAGTTAAATAGCTTTAAGTACATAAGTACAGTGCAGCATCCCGTTCATATGAACCTGCATGTAGTTGCTGAACACGTTTATGGCACACTTTAACATCAGTAACACGTGGCTAGCGTTAGCTCGCGGCCCACACAACACAACACTTCTCTAGCACACACACACACACACACAACATCGAGAATATGTGAAGTATAACTCACCGAGCCCAGAACTCAGTATCTAAAGTGCAGTCTTTAGCCTGTTCTCCGTGCTTTATTAAGAGCTCACACGGTTTCTGCAGGTGGCTCTGCACAGCTGCTGTGTTCTTTCTCTCCTCTTCTTCTAATGTTTATTGTCGGATGGCAGACTAGTTATTACTGCTTTACCGCCACCATCTGATCTGGAGTGTGGAGCATCATGCATGCATCATACTAAATAATATTAATAATAATAGTCATAAATAAATAAATAAAGATAGCAGCGCATGCTCCACAGTTTCAACAATCCCACAATGCATGCATGATCTTGATTCTATTTAGATTTCCATTCAGTGCAGTCCTGTTTTAATTCTTCTCAATGCCATGCCATTGTCTCGTACTCCTACTTCTCGTTGAGTTCTATCTCGATGTCGTCCAGTCTTCTCTTTCTCCCAAAGTTCCTGCCGTGCATTTATAACAGCTTTCCTAATTATTATTGTTGCTTCTGCCTTAACTCATTTTTATGGCAATTCCTATCTGACTCCAGTTCAAAGAGTTCTTAGCGTGCTTATCTGCATTTTCTCATTTCCTTCAACTCCAGCATGTGCTGGAACCCAAATAAATGAAACAAAAATGCCCTGATTTTTCGTTCTATATAAGTATATATACTGCAGTACTTCCAGCATGACATCTTGTCTGCAGTTAGACTGGCCTGATTGAATGCTCTTTAATGCAGCCAATGAATCTGAACATATTACTGCTTTTTAATTCTATTTTCCTCTACCCACTGGAGAGCCATAACAATAGCTACCAACTCTGCTGTAAACACAGAACGTGTGTGTGTGTGTGTGTGCACACATCTGTGCACGTCTGATTGATTTCGCGTCTAATACGGTCAAAAACACACAAGGTTTACATTTAAACACAGTTGGTTATGTCTAAAATGAAAGTAAACAGTTGAGAGAGAAACGGATACGTGCAGCTCTTAAAGCGACAGTAGCTACTAAACATGCTGCCGCCTGTCATTAAAGGAATAGTTCACCCCAAAATTACATTTGCTCACTCACATTGTCCCAAACCTGTATTAAGGTCTTTCTTGTGCTGAACACAAAATATGATATCTTGAAGAATGTGGGTTACCAAACAATCTTTTTTTTTTTTTTATAGACCCTTTTCACATTTCCGTGTTTCTCAGCAGCACAGTCATCATAGATGGGTAACTCTATAGTGGTGAATGGGAGAATACCACAAATATATATATATTCAGCCCTGTTAAGTTGAACGCTCCTAATGCATGCTTATTTTCATTTATTTAAACATGTAGTGGCCTTTAATTTGTGACTTCAATCATTTCAAATAAAACAGATTTTTTTTGCTGCAGAAGTTTAATAGATAGAATTGGTTAAATTTAAAGAAAGCAAGCATTAAATATGTAAAATGATTGTATAAAGGCAGCAAATACACCAGCTGCTGTGATGTCTATTAATCACTAACAGTGTCCTAAAAACAGTGCGTTCCAACAGAACTGAAGTGCAAAACAAGGCTGGTGGTCAGTACTATGTTTTTGGTCTATTGCAATCCATTTCAGGGGAACGCTATAAAAACATGGACATTTGAAGGAACATGAGCAATTTTAGAGCTCCGGGTGACTAAAGCAACTCAATTCTGGCCCATTCTTGGAACTGTGCAGAACTTGGTGCAGGAGGAGCTTTGAAGGACTCAAGATAACATTGCAGCTTACCTCAGTGGTTCGTGACACACCTGCATGTGCATTCCTGAAAACATGTGTAAGGCAATAACAGCCTAATTGGTGATTACATTGACTTTTTGTCACACACTTTGGACAGCTATACGACCCCAAAATACCTGTGCTACAATGTCCACAGCCTTACAGAAGATGCAAAACACCACGGTGTCTTCGACAACTTCAGCGCTTTCAAGTACGAGGGTCACCTTAACAAGCTGAAGAGACTCTTGAGCGGAGTCGGATTGTGAGAAGGTTCTCAGAAATACAAGCTGCATCAAAAAAAGACAGCCTACCATTGCTCAGAAAACAACATACAACTGACCAAATGTAATCTGTCCATGGATGATTACAGTAACTATGCTAAAGTACTGTCCAATTCAAGTGTAATTTTGCTGAAGTTTAATCCAAAGGAATGGATGCAACAAGGATAAATGGATACAACTGTAATGATCAATCCACTGAAGGCGAGAGTAGTGAAGAACCCAAGTGCAGTTTATTTACAAAGGTCATCCAAACAATAAGCCGTGACTTGACTTGACTAGGCATGAACAGACTAGACTCACCGACAGCGGGTTACAACATCAATACACGACGAAGACTATGGGAACATGATCGCTACTTACATCAGACAAGAGGATCACATGACAAGAACAAACCAATGGGAAACAAGACACGTGACTAGGACAACCAATCAGAATATGACACATACACAAGGCAGAGATACATGAGGGCAAGGGAAGCATGACACTAACAGGGTGAATCAATACAAAATAAAAGACATGGAAAACATGAACATAAAACAAAACCCAAACACCAAACCCCACATTACAACAACCCAGATATGCTAAGGGTATGGAACGTTAACATGGACAACATGAAATGTCAGCGGAGACCAGGACATCTAGATGAGCCCCAGAGACTGATCCCCTCTGAAAACCTCATCTCCTAGACGGCCATCGTTGAGTCCTCTGCACAATCTGATTCTGCTGCAGCTTAGATTTAAACTGGGTTTGTCTGGCCAGAGGAGAAAGACACTCTATTTTGACTCACTATTTCCGCGTTTAATAATGTAAAGCTGCTTTGACACAATTTGCACTGTAAATAGCGCTATATAAATCATGGTGACTTGACATTCAGCACGTTCTTGACTCGTACAGCTGCATCATGTAAATGTTGTCCTACGTTTCCAAGCCAGAGCATGAAATGAATATATTCCTGAAGACAATAATACTAATGGATGGTGTCTTCTATTATGTTTAACACACATAACTTTGTTAAAGTCTCAGAAATTTTAGTTTAGGGTTTCATGACCCTTTAGCTTATGTAGTCAACTGATGTTAATAATGTTCATGTAATGACGTGTAAAGTAACAGCAGCCAACTAACCTAATAACCAGCTGCTGTGATGTCTGTTCATTAAAGGACAAAGAAAGAAAGAGGAAAAAATTACTTACAGCTTTAAGGATTCATCTATATTTAATTTAGAATTTAGTGTTTGCTAACTTCAATTTCTGTATATTTCTGCTGAAGGGCACAGGTAAATATGACATTTATTATAATGGGTTTATGTGAAGATTGTTTTAAGTTCATTTAAATTAGAAGTTATTTTGTTTTTATTTTCTAATGTTAAAATTGATAGCTCAATCATACTGTAATGTTGAATGGATACATTATTCAGTAATCACATGCTGATGTGCGCTCATACAGATGCTAATCATACAGATGGCTGCTCATACAGTCAGTAATCACACTCTATTCATATAGACCGCA